GGGGGAGCCGAGCCCGGGGAGGCGAGGAGGGTCTCGGCGGCGCCTCGGAGGGCGCCGGCAGCTCGGGCGTCCAGGCAGGACGTCCGTTTGCGCCTTGCGTAGGGCCGGGAAGGTGAAAAGGAGCTTTTAAAGAATCGTTTTGTCTTCTCCGCGCCGGAGCGCAGCCTTCCAGGGCTAAATGGGCTGCATCAGTTCCGCTTAGACGCCTTGGCCTTTTCGTTTATTTACTTAATAGCGTTATTCTCGCTGGCCAGCCCAAGCCGCGTAATCGCCGCGCGGTCCCGGCCCCGTCTCACCCCGCTGGATTTTGGTCCCTGCTCCGGAGCCGCCTGCCCCTCGGAGGGGACCGTCATGTAGCGCCTCCGGCACCGAAGCGTGTGTGCGTACGTGCACGTATATACGTGCATACATACATATATATATATATAGACGTGCGTGGGTGCGCGTAGCAGGACGCGAGCCGGGCCGTAGGGGCTGCGGGTGCTTCCCGGTGCGCGGTACTAGAGCTGAGCGGCGTATACGGCTCCAAACATAAACTAATTAATCACTTGTGCCTACCCGTCAGGCCAACGCTTCCTGAGATACTTAATCTAAAAATATTTCCCTTTTGAAATCGCCGACGCGCCCGTTTTGGCAACTCCGTTTTCGGTTTGTTTGGGTTTTGTTTATTATTTACCCGCGTTGATTGCCGTTGGTATTTAGGCTTCGGATGTGCTTTTATTTAAGGATGCTTTTAGCAGGAGAGCAGGGATTTATTCTCTCTCTTCGTAGCCAGGATATCTCACCCCTGCATCTTGTCATCTCTTCCCCTTTCCTCTGCTCTTTTTAAGGCTTTCGGTTACTCTTACCTCTTATTTCAGGTTACGGACCGCAAACCCCAAGCCGTTTTCTGACCTCTTCCCTTTGAATTTGCTCCGCGGCGGATTGCGCGGCTCTCCGGGACGCCTTGGCCTGGCGTGTCCCGTACAGTGGCTCGTCGGGCTTCCCGGGGCGGTAGCGGAGGTGGCGGCAGGAGGAGCGCGGCGGAGGGGAGCTCCGCACCTTGTCTCCCCGCGTTTCCTCCAGCTGCGAAGCTGGCGTCTGCATCCAGAGCTGGCACCGTGCCCCCCTCCCTGTTTATACGAGTGATTGTCCCTAGTGTGGAATTATTTATTATTAGCTCATTCTATTGGCCAATTTACTGCTGCGGGCCTTCTTTCTTTCTTTCTTTCTTTTTTTCCTTTTTTTTTTCCCTGACCTTCTAAGCTTTGTTCGCAGTCACTGTTTTAAACACAAAAATGCCGCTTAACGAGAGATTCCTGCACTCGTGATTTCGGAGGCGTGCGAGGCTTAAAGAAGCTCTGTCACGGTGTGTCGTCCAAACCCCTCCACAGGGTCTTCTGCTTCAAGCGATTTTTATATTAATAATATCTTTTTCCTTCTCAAACTTGTTGCAGAGTGAGGAAACACGTGCTCCTTATCTGATTGGGCTTTTTATACTTTACTGCTCTCTTGTTACTGGCAACTGATTTGAGGGTTTTTTTTTTTTTTTTAAGGACAGTGGAAATCATTAGCGGTAGTTTGGGCTGCCGATGGGGGGGGGGGG